TTTCTGGTAGCTCACACGAACCTTCACCGGATACTCGGGGGGGCAGTGCTCCTTAAACCACTCTCCAACTAGGGGGATATCTTGAGCACGCCTAGTGCGACCAGAACGCTTATTAAACGGATGAGGAGCCCAGAGCAAATCGATACCGGATGAAGTGTCATCAGTAAACAAAGGTGTGGTACTCAAAAAGGGATCCACGCCTTCAGGCATGAACACTTCCGAAACATCGTACCTATACAACTATGATAAGAAAACACTTCCCAAAAGTTCAACTCACTCTCCCTCATTTTCATCTTCAGCATCATCTAGTATTTTATCATCATCACCCTCATCAGCCTTCTGCATCGGTAAAGGGTTGATAACAGCATCATATACGTACGGTGGCAGATCGGGGTCGTCCTGCTTCACATAGCAACAATGAGGAGCGTGATACTTAGCAGCATACACCGATCTAGGGCGGGAGTTGTAGAGGTAAGGAAAGGCAATACGATATTCAGTCCTGAGCGAAAATACAATGCAATCCTATGGGGAGCACGTTTAGTATCATCTACCTGACTTGGTTACGAATGATGATTTTATTGATATCGTTGAACTCATTCCAGTCCTCATCTTCATCATACATGTCCCGGTACAAGGGTTCGAACTTTGGACCTCCCGGTATCGCCATATTCAGCGCCTTGGCAGTCTTGAACGCCTATCACCATACCACAATAACTTCAAAACTCTTCCAACGAACACCACGAAAAACTTCACCACAATAACATAAATTCGGCAAATTTTCCAAAATTTTCCGGAAAAAATTTCCACATTTTCCCCCATACCTAAAATCCCCCTCACCTCGAGATCAAATAGATAGAAGTAGTTTCTGTCCACCAAATCTGAGATCAGCTGCCCAGCCAGACGATACAGTACCGACATTTGCGCCAACGACAAACGCCACTTCTTATAAGAAGTACCGTTAACCTGATATAACAAGAAAACATGAAAAATGAAAACCCAACTAAACTTTCCTTCCATCAGGATTCCAATGATCAAAATGCTTTACGCTAATCGATGTAGCGGAATACTCTACTACTACTACTACACTATACACTATACACCCTCTACTAAAATTCATATTTAAAAATGCTTCCACCACGGATCGAACCTGGGTGATCTGCATCCAAGTCCTCTCCCCACACCACTCGAC